GAATAATTTCCAGTCATTCCCTGTCAAAAGGAAAGGAGGTATCAAGCAAGGAATTTGTCCTATATCAACATTATGGATTCCCTAAAATAGCCTGTCATCCTTCACCTTCAGTTACTTGCCATTTCACTCCTCCCTTACCTTTTTTATGTATGTGATGTGCAGGAAGATTCTGACGTGCCCCTTGGAGAGTGTGAGGTTTGGCAATTTTCAGGTGTTGTGAGCGTGAATAAATTATTAATATAATTAGCAAAAACCATTGTTTTTCTGATGACTGTGCCCGACCAAATCAGCTGAAGAGATGAAGGCTAAGGCACAAATTTCCTGAGGGGGGAGGTGTAAGAGGGCAAGCATTGGATCTGCTCATTTGTCAGAACTATTTGGACTCATCCATTCATAGACAGAGCCATAGAAATAAAGATAAAATTGTTCAATCCATAGAAATAAAGGTAAAAAGTTGGGATTAGGCACATCATGAACCTCATGTTACCCTTCCACCTATAGTAAAACCTGGCCCTTGGCAGCATCTTTGCCTTTCAATTACTGATTTTCATTATACATTTCAGCACTGGGTTGAATATCTTTTCAGTTAGAGCCATTTTTTCATTCCACAGTTACACAGCACATCTCTTTGAGGAAAAAAAGTAGTATTTTCTGAGGTGACTACAAGTTTGGGATGACAACCTCTGTAGATGTTCTCCAGAATCAAAGATCTAAGACAGTCAGACTATGATCAGCCTAAATTTGACTTAACAGCCTTGTGATAGTCTCCTTTAAATGGCTGTGATACACTAAAGTGGGTGAAAAAAAATATTGAACATAAGATTGTTATTTAAGAAGATGCTTTGGTTGAAGCTGCAGCATTTGTCACAATATTTTCCTTAGCAGTAAGGAAATAAAGACAGAATTACTTGATCTACTTTACAAATACAAAAAGATGACTGAAAGAATAAATTAGAGGGAGGACAGGCATAAACATCCTGGAGAATGGGCTGAGCTGGGCCCATCCAAATTAGCTAAGTCAGGCAAATATAAAGCCCTGGGCACTTCTGGGCTGCTTTTCAGAGCTCCTTTGGCATGTGTGACCAACCTCCTCTCTTCCTGTGCCAGGGCTTTGTCCATAAACTAAGACTTGATCTGCTTTGCATAAAGTTTTTGGAGCAAAGGAGTGTCCCAGCCTGGTCCTGCAGCTGGAGACTTCAGTAAACAATTGCTTCATGGAAGGGTTGAAGAACTGAAACAGAAATACCTTTTGTAAGGATTTCCCATCGACGGCTGTGTAGGGAAATTCATCATTTTGTAGCATTTAATCAATTTTTTGCTGCATTGGATTGGAATTATGTTAGTTTTGACTAATCATACCATTAGACTTCATTTAATCTCCTTTGAACTCAAATACCTTCTGAATTTTTTACTGATTTTTCTCCCAAATCATCAATGTTTAACATTTCTGATAAAAACCTTGTATTTTAATCTTACTCAGAGGAAAAACATACACTGAGGTTTATCCTTATTCAGAGAAGTTTATTTTGTCTGGGTCTCATTTTATTATGAAAGTTAGCCAGCCTGTGGGCTTAGATACAATGGGAATTTCTCTCCTTTGAGCAAATTCCTGTGGAAAAAGGAAACCTAAATAACAACCAAGTGATACCTTTCTAAAACAGCCTGATAAGCACGAGGAGCCTCTGCTTTTGAAATGTGCAGACTGGGCCCTCCTCAAAACCGAATAAACATAATCCCTGTATAACAAATCTGGGAACTCGAAACAGAGGTTGCTCCTTCCCATTTTCTGTGCTCCAGAGGTGGAATGGGATCTGCTTTTCAACTTAGGCTGTGGTTATCTCTAGAACCCGACAGAACACTGGCAATACTGAAATCCCAGAACATTCCATGAGTACAGGCAGGGAACTGCTTGATGAATAGACCTGTGATAACGTGCAGGAAGGAAATTTCATTTTGGTTTTACAGAGCCTATTAAAAAAATCCAGCCAACCAAACAAAAAACAACAAAAACCCCCCCAAAAAAGCCACAAAAAACCAAAACCAAAACCAAAAATAACAAAAGCCAAAACCACAAAACCAAAAACCAAACAGAAACAAACAAAAACCAAAAAACCAAACAACCCAGCACAGAAAAAAATGGGAGATATTAATTATGTTAATTTCATTATATCATTCAGGATAATTCTGAGTATGACCAGGGAGTAGATGTGGTGATTAAGGAGAGAGCACTGCGTGGGCCAGAATTCCTGGTTTGGGGAAGTAAAGAACAGATCATCAGGGTGGGAAAGCTGAGGAGCTGTAGAACCAGTTGCTGCTTTGGATAAGTGGGGAACCAGGAGATGGAAGGACACAGGGATGGGATGCCAGGTTTGGGAAGAAGGGAGCACATCTCTGTTTGTGTGCCTTGATTACCTGCACAGGAATGGTCAGAGCCTGGCAGAGCTGCAGGGAGACACTGCTCATCCTTGGAGCTCACAGGGAGCTAACCTGGGACATCAGTTTTGCTTGGAAACGGTTTTTACGGCATTGGGGGAAAAAAAAGCTGTAATTTTTCTTTTTTTCTTTTCAACTTGGAGATAGGACAAGGGGGTAGAGGACCAGTAGTACTTTCCTGTAGGGTTTTAGCAAGCCTTTTTAGCAAGGCCTGGTTGGTCAAAAGTCCCCAAGCAAAGGGGAGCAAAGCAGGCAGAAGGGAAGAAATCTGAAATGGGAAGGGTCGGGAATGTGATTTCCCTCATCTTGAGCCATTCTGTGCTCTAAAGATTCACATTTGTGGAAATGCTTCTGCTGAGGGGACTTTCTCTCCTCTCGGGCGTTTCCCTGATGACTGAACAAATGTTTCTCCAAACCCAGTATTCCAGAGCTGACTTTCATTTTACAAAGCTCCCAAACACGAAGTTGAGGGATGCTTATCTCTGAGAAATGTAAATGCTGAGACCCACATGCTAATTACAAGCTTGTTGTGCTGGAAGTTGCCAGGATGGAGTTTACCCACAGCTCAACACTTCCTCCAAGCAAAGGTCTCAGCTTTTATTGGTGCTTGGTAATTCTGCAGGGCTTTCCTCTCCCAGGCGTTGGTACAGAAGGATGAGGGATTTGTGGTCACTGTTTCTACAGGAATGGTAGGAAAGGGGTAGATCAATAATTCACAGCAAGACCTGCCTGAAGTTATGAGCACTTTAAGTACTGAGAGGTATTTCAGGAGCTGAGATCGACCGTGTAATCTCATGTAATAACTGCTCTCAAGAGGAGCGTTTTAACTTCCTTTATTTCTGAGACCATGAACATTTGCTACTTTGTATTTCATTTTTCCATGAAGAATAAACATCGTGAAAGATTTTGAGTACAAACTCTATCAGAGCTTGGCTGAAAAATTTGCCTAAGCTGTGCTCAGAATTTATGGAGAATTGCAATGGCAATGTGAAGAAAAAGGAGCAATTAATAGGAATGGATGACATAATTGTGTATTATTTTAAACCATTGTATTTTGTGGTCAAAAAGCCTGGAGTGCTTTACACGTTGACAGAAAAACTGCATTTTGCTTGGGGAAAAAAGTTCATCTCAACCCCAGTGTAGGGGCTTGCAAAAATAAATCCATAGAAATTAAATCTTGTAAATACAGTGGAATTAAGAAAATACAATGGTATTACCAAAATCTTCTTGGTGAACAGTGAAAAGGACTTTCAACATTTGAAGGTTTTGTTTTATACTTCATTTATTCAACTGAAATAATTGAGATGGGTGATTTATTACGTCCCACAACCTGTTATGCAAAACGAGATGATTTGTAAAGCAAATATCTAATACAAAATGACAAAAGCATTGAGCTGCTCCAGAAAACGTGGGGATACATGGAAAGTAGAAGCATAGGGAGCAATATTTACAGATGGAATGGAGAGGGAAAATCTGACCATAGAGTAAACAGTTTCTTGCTGGATTATCAGCTTGAATTAACTCCTGGGGAGCAAGAACCAGGATAGAAACAAGGGCAAGGACTTGGTGAGGAAGGGCCATGAGACATCTCCCTTCTGGTGACAGGGAACCACCAGGTTGGCCCGGTTGTTGAAGGAACTGGGCTTTTTCCTTCTTTTCAATGCCATTGATTGTGTGGATCCACTAATAAAGAGACCAAAGAAAAAAAAAAATTAACGCTTTAAAAAATAATGGTGCAAATACAGTCCTAAATTGCTTATTATAACCAAAATTTCCAACGTCCATGTGCAAATACCGTCAACTAGATTTTCAGGGCTTTCTGTTCCCAAAGTCTTGCACCCATTAATTCCAGGAGAGCAACTCAATAAATACCAAATCCTTTCCCATTTAGCTCCCAGCCTGCTGAAGACAGTGCCATTTCATTTTCCAGCTGTGCCCCACTGAGCAGCTGGAGTATTCATCCCAAAATTCCCTTTGTAGAAGGCAAACAGAACAGAAACCCTGATGCTATATTTATTAATATTGAAATAATATTGAATTAATAAATTGCTAGCACAGAAGGGTTTACTGAGGGGCGGCAGCTTTTTGTGACTGAAACGCGTAGGACTAAAACGTGTTATGTGGGGATCGCAGGGATATAGAGCGATTGTATCTGGAGACACAAATCCCAGCCTGAAACACAGATGAAGCAACTGTTCCTAGCGACTGAACTGCGGCTGTTAGGGCTCAATTACAGCCGTGATGCGCTTCCTCAGGGCAGGGAATGTCCGCAGGGCACAGAAACGCGTTTTGGAGCCCCATTTGTGCCGGGAACAAGAGGCAGGAGGGGCGGGAGAGCTCTCAGGGACGCCCCCCTATTGTGTCTGGCGCTGAGGCGCCCGGCGCGCGCCTGAAGGCCCCGCCGCGCCGCGCCTCCTCCGCCCGGCCAGTGCAGCAGCTGCCGCCGCGGGCTCAGGCGTTCTCCGCGGGCACACGCGGGCCGGCCAGGACCCCGCGCGCTCCCGCGCCGCCTCGCCTCTACGCGCCGGCGTGCGCGCCGCCGCTGCCTCTCTCTGTCCCTCTCTCTCTCTCTCTCTCTCCCTCCCGTGGTAGCAGGAGCAGCGCGGGCGGCGGGGCTGGAGCGTGGCTGAGGCGGCCATTCCTACAGAGCGAGAGAGAGCGCAGCGTGTCCCCCCCGGGCTCAGTCGCGCACAGGGTGAGGAGGGCGGCGCGGCCCCTCCGGACACCCCGAGCGGGGCGGGAGGGGAAGGGGAGCGTGAAGGGAAAAAGACCGTTGGGCGCGAGGCGGCCGCCCCGCGCCGTCACGTGACCGGCGGCGCGCGCGCGCCGGGGGAGGTGCGGGTTTTGGGGGGGGGGGCGCGTGCGCGTCCCCGCCGTCCGCGCTCCCCCCGTGACGCGCTCTCCGCTCTCTCCGCTTTCTTGTCTCTCTCCCGCCCTCCCTCCCTCCTTCACAGAGATGCCCTCGGCTACCAACAGCACCATGGCGAGCAGCACCACCGGCAGCAGCACCGGCAAAGCGGGACCGGGCAGCGAGGCTGCCCCGGCGGCGGCGGCCCCGCAGGCGGCGGCGGGTGTGAACATCACCACGGTGCAGACCGAGGCCATGAAGCAGATCCTGGGGGTGATCGACAAGAAGCTGCGCAACCTGGAGAAGAAGAAGGTGATTCCCCACGTCCCCTCAGACCTCCCCCAGCCCACCCCGGCTGCCCATCCGCCTTGTCCCTCGCCTTCCGGCCGCCCCTGCCCCCGAGCCGGTCTGGCCTGTTTCCCTTCCGCTCCCTTGTGCCGGGCCGTCCGCCGAGCCCTCCCGGGTTGTTCCCGGCGTGGCCCCCAGAGGCCGCCTGCTGGAAGGTTCCAGAAGGGCGAACGCCGCTCCCCCGGCCTGTCCCCTTCCCCTCCCGGGGTCCCCCTGCCCCGTCCCCTGCCGCCCTCCCGTCGCCCCGGGACCCGGCTCGGTTTTCCCCCGGCCCGCGGAGCAGAGCCCGGAGGGGTCGCGGCTGCCGGCCCCCCTTCGCCCCCGCTGCCCGGAGCCCCCTCGGCGGCGCCGCTCCCTTCCCCTTCCCCCTCCTTCCGCCTTTTGTTCCCCGCGGCGGGGCCTTTCCCAGCCGCGCCATGCGGGGATCGGCTCCCACATCCCCGCTCCGTGCTGTGCCCGGAGCGCGCCCGGTGCCCGTGCCCGGCGGAGCGGGCGGGCAGAGGCTGCGGTGCCCCCGGGGCCGGGCACATGGACGCGGAGCTGTAACATGGCGGCGGCCCGGCCTCCCCGGCGGAGCTCATTGTGCCGCCCGCACAAAGCCGGGGCCACCCCACCCCGCCCCAGTGTCACCGCTGGCTTTCCATCGCCCTAAGCTCAACTCTTTGGGAGCCTCAGCCCGGCTGGAAGCGGCCTTTCACGGGTTATTTTTAGAAAGAGCAGCTACTCAATCCGTGGTGCTCGGACGGTTCGAGCCTGTGGCACAAGAGGCAAAGGGTGTCGTGGTTACTCGCGGCGTGTTTTGCACCCTCCCGCTGGTGGCAGATTAAATGAGCTTCGCAGGGCTTTACAGGCTCCAGAGCATGAGGCATCCATCAGAAAAAGAACTTACTACATAGCCTCAAGACTTGCCTCAAAACACCACCTTGCTGAGCTAAAATTACCGAAAAATAATTTTATGTTTGTACCACAGCCCTAAATCTCTTTTTATATTTAGGAGTGAATAAGCACAATAACTGTTGTATATTTTTTTTTAACTGGCACTTTTGATCGTATTCATAGTGTTCCATATTGTATAAGGTGGAAATATTCCCAGTAAATTAGTCTTACAGGGTTGTAAAGGAAAGAAGCTGTGCTTTACCTATAAATAATACACTGTGTATCAATAATACACTGTATAAATGTACAGTGTACACTGTAGCTTCCCGCTTTTAAACTGGGTGTGGGATTTTCCTGGTTTTTAAAAATGACATGGCAAAAAGCAGCAAGCCAGGACATTTTAGGTAAGTTTTAGAATCAGAGGAGCTTTTCCTCCATGTCTGTTGTGTGTAAACAGGACAAGATGTCTGTCTTAAACTTGGCATTAATACACAGGAATAGCTGCACAACCAAAACTGGTCCTCAACCTGAGAAAGAGAGCAGATCTTTCTGTCTCTTTTTGAATACAAAAAAAATATTGAAATTTAACTGTTGTACCCAACATACACTAAAACCCTCTGAAAGTACTTTTAATTATGTTAAAAATGTGTATTTTAAAAATCAAAATTTGCAGGTGAACGTTTTGACCTGTTCTGTATTTGGGGGTAATCAAGAGGATAAAGCACAGTGTTACTGGTGTGAGAGTTAGCTTTCCTTGGGAGCAGTGTTTTTATTTACCTTTAAATCATGTACACCTAATTTACACTTGCCTTGGCCATTCCATTCTATTTGAGTGGAGTTTTAGCGTTCTACCAAGTGAATAGAGGGGACAAAGTGCCCTTTTTTTTCTCTGGACATGGCTTTTGTTGGAAGATGTTCCATGAAAATTACTGAAAGCATTTATTTCTTGAATACTCTGTGCTGAGCAATGTGGGCTTAAAGAAAATGCAGGGACTGGAGCTTAAAAAGGAGAAGCTCCGTGTTGTCTCTCACTGATGAATTAAAGTTCAAAGATTCCTGAGTCTTAATGGGCTGAAGTTCTGAAACTTCTTGAAGGAGGACTCATAAGCACTACAAAAGTCATAAGAGAAATGGATTTTGCTGTATTAAAGCAGAGTAACTAATCTGTGGGCTTGAGCCTCTCACCTTGGTAGAGGAATCAAGAGTTCTGTAGTAAATAATGAAGAGAGCATTACATGCTTTGTGTCTTAAAACAAAGCTCATTGTACACATCAGGATTTCCTTATAGTTTATATCTTTGTACAGTAATATATTTCTAATTTTTCCAGCCATCCAGAAAGTAAAATTGTGCTGGATACTGCACAGACAGGAGTGGATGAGAAATGCAGTAAATCTCAGTGGGAGCTTGTGTTTAGTTGGACAGTTAATCCTTTCTTTGTCAGCAGATGCTAACGAAGGCCAGTAGAGATGATTTTCAGAGCTTTTGTCATAGAATAAACACAAAAATATACTTAGACACATGTTTCTGAAGGATGAAAATTGACTGCTCTGGAAGAGGTACCATCTTAGGTTTTAAACAAAAGGAGTGTGCAGCTTTTAGTAGAGGAAAGGTCACTCTTCATAAAGAAATTTGAATTTTCAAAGTGAAGTTTTAGTCATGTTTACCTCTAGACACAGAGAATAAAATAATGTAACTACCAAAATACAAATTGAAATCATATTTATGATTTTGGTCTATACTATTTTGAATGTTTCTAGATAAAGTAAAAACACTGGATCATTAGTTACACTTTCATTTTCTTTTCTTAAACGTGACCTCGTTTGAAAGAATGAGTATTGCTTTTGTTGAAAGGATAAATTGAATTGGTGTTCAGAAATGGATGTGAAAACATGGCCTGAAAATGTCTGTGTTCCCTCATCTCTTTGTATTTGGAAAAGATAGGAATGCTGTCCTCTGTTCTTAGATGACAAGATATTTGTGTGTGCATGGAAGGGGGTAATTAAAGGGGTATTTTCTCTCCAGGACCTTCAGATGTGCAACTTGAGTTTATGTTGACAAGCTCAGTTAATTTAAAAGTTGCCTCCAGGTGTTTGTCAGGTGTCTGGGGTTAGAATCCTGCCAGCTCTCCACGTTCCCTAGGAGACAATATTGCACCTTAAATTTCTCCTTATCCCTGACTCTTCTGGTTTTTGTTTTTAGAGGGGAAAATCCTTTCCAAATTTTAAGCCAATTGAATGTAGATCAAACTCTGTTTTTGTTTCAGGGCTGAATGAAAATAACCCCAGTTATTTTTGCATTCAACTTGTGTAATAGAGCATGAGCCATGTAAGAACAGTTCATCAAACAAATGTTCTGCCAAAGGGGCAAAATAATTCATTTGCTAACACGTGGGTTAGGGAATGGGCAGATGTTCACAGGGTAACATTTGAGCTTAAAGCCTTGGTGTGAGCTTGGAGTTGGGAAGATGGCACATACTGCCTGTGCCTGGTAACTTGAGCTGCTGTCACTTCATCAGCTTGTCTGAGTTTCCTCCTGGGTGTAACCCTGGCTGGGGTGCAGAATGAGCAGTTCACAGGTGCTGCTGTCCTTGCTGCACAAGAGCTCTCACGGAACAGCAGGTGGACATCTGAAGTTGATGTGACTTGGTTCAGTAAAACGTTGGATTTCCCATGGGAAACAGGAACCTATAGTAAAAGCTGGGATCAGTTTTCCATTCTGGTAGCAGGAAGTTTGAAGCTGCCCATTGGTGGCAGCTCTCTCAGTGCTTTTGTTCATGATTTGGGTCACTTGGATGTTCCAGGCTTGTCAGTGGCTCCAGAACCTCTCCTTGTGAGACTTGGTTTGAAATTTATCTTGGGATATTTAACATGATTTTGGAACAAATTGACAGTGTATTAAAAGCCTAATTCTTTCTTTGGAACCTCTTTTAGTAGGAATTTTGGATGTCAAGCTTCAGGTCTGAAAACCCAAGCAGTTTATCTGTGAAATCATTTGGTGGTTGGTGCTTTGAGGTTTAAGCCTCGTCTGTTTTGGTTTAAACTGGTTATTGTAGAATAGGGATTGTCTCACAGTGAGTTCAGTTAACTGGATGCATGATGAGTCCAGGGAGCTGTGAAACATCTTCTAGTTTCAGTTTTTCAGATGCTGCTTTGGGATTTGGATCATAGCTTTTGTTTCAGAAGAAAAGGGCACACAAAATGTGTTGGGTGAGACACGTTTGTGTTCTAGAATTCACTTGTAAAAGTAACTTCCTGAACAAAAACGATGTATAGAGCAAAATCCACGTCTCCTACAGTGTAGTCAACTTCCCTGTAAATTCAGAATGTTTCTGTAGGAAATCCTGTATGGTGGTGATTTGGAAAGAAATCTCTATGCAGTCACCACAACTTGGGGTTCCATTCTTCTGTGACTTAATTCTGGTTACTGAAGAAGCTTTTTTTTCCCTCTGGGGTTAACTGATCATGAAACTGCAGTCTCAGAATTGATGTGTCCTTGTCATTTGTTGAAAAACTAATACATTATGTAGATATTTCTTCTAAACCATCAAACTTCCCAGACTGTGGGGAAAACCCACCTACCAGAATATCTACAACTGTTATTCCAAAAGTAAATTCTGTTTAAACAGAAGACCTGTAGATGTTTCGTGTATCCTTCCATCTTCCTGGTTCCAGCTCAGGACTAAAACAGCTTCTCAGAATATGTGGGTTTTGAGAGGTTCTGAACTTCCTTGTTAAGTGTTTTACCTTTTTGATTTTTTTTTTGCCCTTTTTTGAGAAAATAATAGACTGGTTTTGGTTTCTGGGGTTTTTTGGTCATTTCTGGGCAGTTTTTGCTGCAAAGCCTTGAATGAGTGTGGAAGTGATGGTGGAAGGCAAACAAATTACAATGCAGAGATGTAAAACAAGTTAATAAACCTCTGATTTGTAACTTGGCATTTATATGGGTTCAATGCCAACTATATTACACAGCTATTTTAAATTTTGTATTATCTTAATTGCTTTTGTGCTGTCAGAAACATTCAATTTTTTAGATACCTGAGGAAACAGACTTGAAATGTCCTTCCCATCTTTTCTTACCTTGTAGTAGAGTTGGAATTACTAAAGGTTTACTCCAGGTGTTCACAGAGGTTACCTTGTCCCCTTGCAGTTTGTTTTGTGCACTTGTGAGCTTGTAATTGGTAGAACCATAGCACTGAAATTATCTGGTTAAATATAGAGCCTCCCTCCTGCTCCTGACCCCCTTTTTTAAGGGTTATTTTTAATCTGATGATTCCAGTGATCTAGTTTGTAGCACAGCACTGGAAGTGGCAGCTCAGTGGTCAGGCATTTCTAAAACCAGTGTTGGTTTGGAGGGTAATGCCCTGTAACTGCATTTTTTGTTTCCACTTCAGGGTGACATTTTTGAGACAATTCAGAGGAGGTGAAGAGATCTATTACTACAATAAAGTAACTCAGTTCTGGATTCCTATTAAAGTCAAGTCCAGGGCATACTTAAGCAATGAACACCACAGCCCCAGGAGCCTGTTCGTGGTGCTTTTTGCCAGGAAACTCCAAAATACTTCAGGTATCTCTGTGGAAAAAGCTGAAGCAGGGTGGCTTGCTGCCTGCAGAACTGAGAGCTGCTGACTCATGAGCTGCTCAATACACAATTCATGTGCTCACTTTGCCACTGGATTATTTTTTTTCCTGCTGGTTTGGTTTTCATGCTCTGTGAAGAGTGAGGGTGAAGTTCTGTAAGGGGGGATAAGACGAAGAGAATGTCCCCCTCTTGCAGGCTCTGCAGTAGGTTCCTGAGCAGGAATTTCACTGCAGTTGTTTTACAGCTCTAATGCTGCTCTTGGATTGCTGTTAGTTGACAGTGCAGATTAAAAAGGAAGGCATTTTACTTAATATTTCTGTGTAATGCAGCTTTGGATCTTAACAGTGTCTTTGCGATGATAGAAAAATGCTTACTTGGCAGTCGAAATCTTTGTGGTAACATTTAACTAAATGCACATTGGCTTGTCCTCTGCATTGCAGCTGACAGGCTTTCCTTCCTCTGTTTTTACCTTCCCAATTGGAGTATTTTAAAAGAAGTAAATGTGAAGACAAGTAATTTTTTTTCTATTCCGATGAGAAAGAGACGTAATACCGTTGGCTTTTTAGTTGAATAAAAATAAGCAAAGCATTTACATTAGATGTAAGAATATTTGACCATTCAAGAAAAATCTTGTACATTGTTCAGTATGTTACTGCAGCATCTTCATCTGAAATGACCAACCATGCATGAAAAAAGTATACAGAAAAAATTGTAGTTGTTTAGGATATTTTTGTCTCTTCCCTCCCTTATGCCCTGAGCCACCAAAATGGTTTCTACGAGTGTTTCACAGTGTAATTTTGAAATATATATTTTATTCAACAAAGTCAAACAAAGTAGTGTTCTGGAATACAGTGTTCCACCCAGTTTGTTTTACTGTTGTTGGCTATGGGTTTGTGTTGGAAACTGGATCACAAAATTTGTTTTACTGCATTTTTGTAGACCCTGTTCAAGCTGGCTCATGTTTGTAGTCTGTTTACTGAGCAGCCTCACAAACAATTGCATCAGGGTGACCAAGGGAATTGTAATCTGCAGCAGGGGAGCCAGTGACTTAAGCAAGTAGGAACTTCCTTTGGAATTTGCTGGTCTGAAAAGCCACTTTGCTTTTAGGATTTCAACCATCAGAGGTGTGAGTTGACCTGGCTCCCTTTTAGCTTCACCGCTCAGCCACCCGCTCCCAAATCAAGAGACTGTCCTGTGATTGTCCAAGCGTGTCATCATCTGCTCTGAGATCAGGATGGCAAAGAGTAACCTGACCTTACTTCCTGTTGAGATAGATTTGCAGTGTGCCAAATGCTCTCCAGGGCTACTTTTTTGATCTGTTATGAACTGTGGCTGCTGCATATAACAACTGTTACCATGTCGTTTCTGTCCCCAGCATGAAATTCCCAGTAATATATTTTTGGAGCTCTGTAAGTTCTTGCTTTGACTTTGCCTAAGCTATTGCTGGCTCTGATACATTGGAAGGTGAAGTAGTTAAATGTTCTGCCTGACCTGGAGGACTTGAAAAGATGCAACACCAAAAATGACATCAAAAGGACCAAGCCTCACAGGGGTGATTGGGTTTCAGGAAGTAATGATGGGCATCAAATACTTCAGAGGAGGAGCTTGCTTGTTCCACAGACTATGATCTTTCCAAAAGTCTGGAACTGAGCATAGAGAAGTTCAATTAACTAGAAAAATATCAGTAAAATATTTTAACCGAAAAGTCTGGAACAAAGAACAACAGCAGCTGAACAAGGTGTCACTCAGTGGCAAATAAAACCCTGAGACAGTGGTGGCATCAGGGGTTTGATTCTTAGACATTCAGAGTAAAGTGTTGTCTTGCTTTTCATGTTTTGTTTCCCCTAGATGGGGAAGATAATTGTTAAGGATTCATGTTAATAACTTTAAGTTAGATCAAGGTAAACTTCTTTTGCTTTTGGCTGATGCCACTCTTCTGCATGGTTTTCTGTTTGAGCAGATGAGAAAACTGATCCTGCTGAGAAGTAGCCTAATGATTCTTTTTTCAGTTTCTTCCTGTGGAAAAAAAATCCTAATGCTCTTGAACAAAACTATTTTAGAGCTATTAATACGAATTGTGTTGGTGGGCATTCTTGCACATAGGATTAGAAACTGTTTAAAATTCTTTACAACTATCTTAAGTGATGGAGCTAAGGAGAATTACAGTTCTGAATCTTAATAGCATTGACAGTGGGGGTTTGCAGTCAGGTTTTTGATACTGTAGTGATAAAGTGGTGATAAGCTCTTCCTCAGCCCTCAGTTCAGCTCTTGGTGCTTGGACTGAAGGATATGTGCATTGAGAGTGCTTTTCCCCATAGAAGAAATGTGAATTTCTTTGGAAATTCCAACTAGCCATGAAGACATTGTAATAGCCAAATAACCAAGATAAAAATATTTACCTCTTGGGAAAATATTTACATTTTAACCCAGAAGACAGTTTTTCTCATGTACTCTTCTACAGGACGGTTATGTGCTTGTGTAAAGTGTTACAGTCTGTGTAGTGTAATATTACAGTGCATAATTTTGTTAGCACAAGTAGAAAGAAAGCTTTAAACTGATTTTTACCCTCTTCATAATAGCAATTTTCTTTTGTTTCAGAGCAAACTTGATGATTACCAGGAACGAATGAACAAGGGAGAACGTCTGAATCAAGATCAACTGGTAAAAACAACAACAAAAATCCTAATCAGATCTCTGTTAAATTGTTTTGTCATCTTGGTGGTGAGGAGTTTTGTGCTGCCTGTCTCCTTGTTGGGGCTGGTTCTTAAAGTAGGTTATTGTGGAGCTGGATTCAGCAGCAGTTTTGCAGTTGTAGTAAATAAAAAGCAAGTATCAATTTAAATTCAGTTGTATGGTGCAAACATACACATTGATACTTCAAGAGATTACCAGATGCTCCGTAATCAACAGTGTTTTGTTGATGATTTTTTGCACTGAGAAAGTGAAGGGAAAAAAATGTACCCTCCAACTATTGCAGCTGTTGACACTTCAAAGAACGAGCTGCTTCCCTTGGTTCCTTGGATGATTTCATCTTCACTTTGGTGGTTCTGTGCCAGCTGAAAACTGAAATATCACAGAGCTGTGTATTTTTATTTTGTAATGGTCTGTTGTGAAGATAAACCACAAAAGAGAACTGACATCATGTTGAGGAGGGAAGCTCATGGTTTTTATGAAGCCTGGCTACCAGGCTTGATAAAAATCTTCATAGTTTAAAGAAACCCGTTATTTTTCCACAGCAGGAATGTAAATGTCTCAGCTGTGTACCCCTGATTTGGTGTAATTTCTCACTACTACCAAATGGGTTGAGCAATTTGGTTTGCTTTGGTGCAGATCAGAGTATTAGGCTGAAGAAGATAGGAAAAGCAAAGGTTTCTGGAGAAGGGGACATTATGCTCTGTATATTCTGATTCTGGATATGACTGGAGATAACAACGCATTAATTCTCAGACTCTTGAGCAGTTCTGAGTTTTTGTCTGGAACTGACTGCAGTCAGACATGAAACCAGTCCATCATCCATGTGTGCACATAAAGACCTATTTTTATATATGTTTAGCATATCTAAAGAAACTGGAGGCCCCAAGGACATACACAAGCCTTTGATATCTGGGCTGTGAAAAATCTAAATTTGTCTTAACATAGTTGCAGTTCCATTCAGGGATGCTGTGTCTCACTTCAGAACTAAAAAATGTGGGAATTTATTTATTGGAAGTATATATTCTGTTCTGTTGCTGATGATGTCCATTTGTGGTCTTTCTGGGTTTTTTTCAGGATGCAGTGTCAAAATACCAGGAAGTGACAAATAATCTGGAATTTGCTAAGGAACTGCAGAGGAGTTTTATGGCTCTGAGTCAAGATGTAAGTAAAGATCAAGCATGGCCGTGTGGGTTATCCAAACACTTTAAACTCTTCACTGAGGCAGTAGCCACCTCAGTTTACAAGGATGAATTGCCCTTGATTTCTTGCATGTTTGACTGTTTTCTTCTGTTCTTTTTATTAGTTGATGTCAGGTTTTCTAAAGAATATCTGATGTACTACATAAATGTATGGAAACAAGAAAAATGTAGTTTTCTGATACAACACAAGTGTGGAAAACAGTGATCACAGAACCAGGTCTGTCATGCAGTATTAAAGATGGTCACATACCAGATGGTCACAGATGCTACTGCTAGCATTTTCATAAATGGATTTCATAGGGTTTTCATTTCTTCATAATACAATCTAAAGCTACATTATGGGACAATTATTATTTTTGTAAAGGGTAAATTTAACTGGATACTACAAAATAGGTAATCTTTTGGGTTGATGTTTTATCAAGGATGCAGAATAATACTGTGATTGAGAATTAAATTCTAAAATTTGGGAGTTCTGGAAAGAGCAGCAGCATTGGAGGAATTGGTTGAGTAGTGGATGTCAATACAGCTGACTGCTCTGAGGAGTGTAGTTAGCTTGTGAACAGGCTGGGATAATTCGAACTGCAACAGCATCCCTGTGTTATAAACTTCTTTTTATATTGGCTGTGGCTTTAAATTAATTTGTAGGACTGAGCCAACCTGTTTATTTTCTGGCATCACAATTCCATCTGTGTTTATGGAATGTTAGAAATGGAGAATGTCTTTTTCTGGACAAGTGTGTTCTGAAGTGTTTCCCTGGTCAGCTGACTGCTAAAAGAGCCCAGTGAATTCTGGAGTACCAGACTGGTGCTCTGCTTTCAAACATGGTTGCAGTTTTTCCTGACTGGACTTAGTTGATTTTAAGATATGTCTTCGATTTTTAAAAATGAAATGTAGATGTTTCAAGTGAGGAGTTACCATCACGATAGATTTTTTGGAAGAGAGTATTGAATTTCCAAAGTGAACCAGCTGAACTTGGGATGCTGGATGCATGAAGAGTGGTAGAAACATCCTTCAGGTTCAGAGTGGTGCTGCATTTAGATCTGTCTTGTGGAAGGTTCAGTGCAGAGCACAAGGCTGCTGCTGATGTGTCATCCTCACACTGGAAATGCTGCAGTGGATGTACATGCTTGTTCCCACTAGGGATCTCATGTCCAGGAATTTGTTGAAATCCCTTTTTGAACTTGCTGATCCTGTCTACCTCCCCAGCCTTTCATGGCGAAACATTCCATGAGTTCCCTCCCATGGTGTGTGAAAAAACAGAGTGCTTTTGTTTATCTGTTTCAAGCTGATCTCCTGGTAGTTCCAATGAATGCTTCCTACTGTTATGGGATATGGTGAATAACCTCTCTGTTCCTGCTCTCTCTGTGGCCAGTGTGAAAAATCTGGATCACCCAAGCCTTTCCAAATGGAAGAGCCCAACACTTGGGCTCTGCTCTTGCCCAGTGGAAGAACTCAACACTCTGGCTTTTCCCTTGCCTTCCTCTGTACTTTTTCTTAGCAATTAAAGACGTTTCCAAACTGGTTTTCCCTTGGGTCCATTCCAGATCCAGAAAACAATAAAGAAGACAGCTCGTAGGGAGCAGCTGATGCGAGAGGAGGCTGAGCAGAAGCGTTTAAAGACTGTGCTGGAGCTGCAGTTTATTCTGGAGAAGCTGGGGGATGATGAAGTGCGCAGTGACCTCAAACAAGGATCCAACGGGGTGCCAGTGCTGACAGAGGAGGAACTGACAATGCTGGATGAGTTTTATAAGCTGGTTTACCCTGAACGAGACATGAACATGAGGTAGGGTTACAGCAAAATGCTCCTCTTTCTAATTGCCAGTCAGTTAACAATGTATTTAGTATGGTAATTTAAAGACTCTGTAAGAAATTAACTCTTTTTAATTAATTTTTAAGGTTGAATGAGCAGTATGAGCAAGCATCTGTTCACCTGTGGGACTTACTGGAAGGGAAGGAAAAACCAGTTTGTGGAACAACCTGTAAGTACAGTCTCTGCATGAAGAGAAGCATACTGAATTTGTGCCTGAACTAAAACACACATCTGATGTAAGAGAACTTGGGCAGTTAATTATCTCTGAGTTCTTAGAGGAGCTACTTTTTCTCAGCTCTTAGCTGGACTGTAACAGTGACTTGTGAAGTTTATACTCACTGTCTGGTGCATTTTTTTTATACTGGGTCAGCATTACTCAGTATTGAAGCTCATTCTGTTCTTGCTATTTCAGCCGTACTCTGCTGGTGCTCAGTAACAGTTCTTTGTTTTCTGCAGACTTGGGTGTGAACAAGGTGACAGTGTAATACATACACTGGCGTGGCCTTCCTTAGTGGGATGTTCACTCCCCCTGAGTTCCTGCAAAAAGTGTTGTGGTTTTTCCCTGTTTTCATTGGTTAACTGCAAATCAGGCTGTGGCCATGCCAGCCAGACTACTTTTTTATAGAAATAATTTTCAAATACCTGGCCTAGGCAGCCAGTAATGCTGCTTTGCCAATGGGGCTGATGTGTTTTGGGTTAAGATGCCCCAGCATTCATCTGAGGCACTGAGGGCAAGTGTTCTTTGCTTACAAAGGTTCTCTTGAGCCACTTCACCTCAGGGGAAGAGCCTTCATGAATCAGGTGGTACCTGTGTAGATTTATTTTTATTGACAATTGTTTTGGAAGAAATTGTCTTACAGTATGGTTTTAAATAACAATAAAAGTCTAGCAATTAAATTCGTAAACTTGACCTCACTGTGACGTGCTCCACAAAGCTTCTGAAGGATTGTAAGTACTCTTAAAATCCTTCTCAGCCTTCAGATTTTTCTGAATGACAGTAGGTTATTCCTGGATGTATTGAATGTGACCCAGTAAGAGAAGAAATCCTGGAGCAGTAGTAGTCACAGACTGGCTTGGGACAGCAACATCTTTCCAGCAAAAGGGCTCTTTAGGAAGGAAGGAAAGAGAAGGTGATGAGGACTGAGGTGGTGCTGATGTTTCCCTGTTCCATTTTCCCAGATAAAGCACTGAAGGAGGTTGTTGAACGGATTCTTCAGACCAGTTACTTTGACAGCACCCACAACCATCAGAATGGGCTGTGTGAGGAAGAGGAGGCAACACCTGCACCTGCAGTAGAAGACACTGCAGCAGAGGCTGGTGAGTAGGGGAAGATGATTTGTGACTGACATTCTGTGGTGTTCTGTCTTGTCTCTGCAGTCCTCAGAGTGATTAAATTGCAAATGCCGTGTTCATCTCTAGTACTGAAAGCATCTAAGATGAAAGTTCTGGCTGCCTGAGGCTTTTCCCATTTTTCAGTGGTTCCCACCAGTTTAAACTGTGTTAGAAGGGAGCTGTTTCTGAAGCAGACAGTGTGATTACATACTTAAGAAACTTGGGAATGTTGTATCCAATTTTAAGAAAGCTCAGGATGTGTTTTCCTTCTGTGGAGAAAGCATAGCTGAACATAAACTCTCCCTAGGAAGAATTTAATGGGTTTTTTTTTTCTTTTCAATTCAAAACTCTCAAAGTATTTGTTATTAATTCTCTGTTAGTTCCCGTTACATTTCTTCTTTATTCTATATTCAGACACAAGATTTTCTCATCTAACTTTGTATCTTCTAGGTCTGTAACATGAGGGTGGTTGGGGTCTTTATTGTTGTTGGTTTGGGTTTTGTTTATTTGGTTTTCCCACATAAATGGTTTATTTCTTTTTTCTCCAGAACCTGATCCAGCAGAAGAATTTACTGAACCAACTGAAGTTGAATCAACTGAGGTATTACTCACTGAAAGACTGTCATTTTGTATACCTTCAATGCCACTTACTTTTACTTTCATACCCTTTCTTATTTTTATTTTAGTATGTAAACAGACAATTCATGGCAGAGACTCAGTTCAGCAGTAGTGAGAAGGAACAGGTAGATGAGTGGACAGTTGAAACGGTTGAGGTAAGATCTTGTGTACTGCAGGTAAAATTGCAATCCCTGTTTCTGCTGGCTCACAATTCATGATAGGTTTTAGTATTGCATCCCTGCTCCCCCAATATATGAAAGAATACGTATATTTAAGTAGGCTTGGACTCACTACTCGATTCTTTAATTACATACTTAGCTCAGGAGTACCTAAAATAAAAAGAAATAAAACCTATTTAGTCTGGCTAAGTTTGTAGAGAACTTGCTTTTCGTCATTAGTGGCTTGCTTGGGAAAACAGGGCTTAAAAGTCTTGTGCTTAAAAATACTTTAAAGACTTTTTTTGAAGTCTTTTTTTTTTCTTTTTGGAGAGCTTAGCTACAAATGTAGAACTTGTAGGTTGTATCTACCCAGCTGCTGACAGTGTGGTGTAGTTGTGCTTTCATTAAGCAGGTCCCTGGAGAGGGAGCTGAAGATGAGTAACTCAACTAATACCTATTCCAGATTGCTTGTGTGCATCATTTGATGTGAAAATATGCTTGTATATGTCCGTACGTCTCTGCTTCTCAGAACTACAGTTCTTAAGTATCTCACTTGTTACTACTTTGCACTTGAGTGGCTGTTCACTTGTGGTGTTTGTGGTGCACTGGTGTTGGGATCCATTCCCAGTTTGGTGGTTTGCACTCAGACTTTGCTGTGTGTACAAGTCCATGGTTTTCTTGCACTGGAATTGGTGCACGGGGAAAGGACAAGGCCCCCCCGTTTGGTTTGTTGGAGCTTGAGATGTCTGTCTGTTAAAAATTAGTATGAGCAGCTTCTTTCAAGGGTGCTGGAGAGTTAATTCTTGATGGATTTTAGCCTTCTGCAGCAGCAAATTGCAGATGGTCTGTTTTAGACTTTCTTGGTGCCTTTGGGCTGTTTTTAAGTGTGTTTAAGTTTAGGAGTGGAATAATTAATCATCTTGTGAAGTGCTGAAAAAACAGAACAGCTGTTTTAATCTGATAAATTAATCTGGCTGATTCTACATTGAGTCTGGCTGAAATTCCTGTTTTACAGTGTTGAATACTACTAAGAGATGCAATAATACTGAGGATGGGTGTGAGGCTTCTAAAACTAAGTAGACAGCTTTGCCATGTATGTGAAGGAGTTTGGTAGTTCCTTGTCATAGTATTTCATTTCCTTACTTAAAAAACTTATATTGTCACTGCTGCTGAATGTGCTTTAAGTATTATCTTAAAAATCTGAAGAAGCCCCCCAAACCCACATATTAAAGTCATGCTTGGTTGGAGTATTCTGAGAAGGCACAGCATTTCAAAATTAATGATTGATTGGCTTCAATTATACCCATTTTACATCTGTGTTTCTACCAGGTATCCAGAATGGTTCAGTTCTCTGTAGTTCGTCATATAAGAAGTATGGATGAAGATATAATTCAGGTTGTAGTTAGTATCAGACAGATTCCAGAAACTCATAATTTCCTAGTAAGCTGAATCTGGAATTGGATCAACTTTGTTTTCATAGGACAATACGAAGAATCTGTGCTTTAGTTGCCCTTTCTGTCCCAATATCTTGGACATGATAGGAAAAATTCAGAAAAAATTAAAGTTAAGCCTGTTTCCTTATAATAAATAATTTTATTTTCTCAGCTATAACATAAAAAAAGGGAAATTGAGAATATCTGCTAGTAAAATTACTCTTGCTGGCACCACGATCTCCTTTCTCAGGAGAATGCAGCTGAACTGTGCTTTGGTAAGATCATAACACAGAATGTACACTGATGGCTGTGAATTTTGAGATCTGAAAGAGAATATCTGCTCAGATCATCTCCATAACTTTTCACAACGGAGGAGAAGATCATAAACTCTCTTTTTCAGTAACTCAAGTAGATGTGATACAGCCAGGATTTCTGTGGTGTATTTCTAGTTTAGGAAGTGATGATGTCTTCACAAGGATGTTTTTTATGGTCCTTCCTTAAGTCTTAAACTAAATAATTTGCATGTGAATTTTCCAAGTGTATTTGCATTATATGATGTTCCAGTTTTGGTGAAGATGTCCTTTATGGGTAATAGTATTTATGGAAGTTTTTTTATTGTTGTTTTGTGGGGTTTCAATTTTTTTTAACTACTTCTTCTGTAATTAGTGCCTGAGCCAGGTTGTACACAAAGTTCCCTGTCGCTTAGGTTGTGGAGCTTTGGTTGGATGGATTTTGTGTAGAATTCAAAACTGTTCTCAGAGTGACAAAATACAAGTTCATTCTGTTGGTTTGTGGTGTCATTAATTGTGGTTTTACCTTTCCTCCTCTTTTTTCCCTGTCTCCTGTCAGTTTCCTTGCATTGTGTCTGGCAGCTCTGCCTGCTGACAAGCTTAACTTGCCTTACACAACTTGAAACTTGTTCAGTTGTTTCATCTAGTGTGGTGTTATACTCAGTCAGAGTACCTGGTAGTGCTAATAAGGCTGAAGGAACAGGTCCTAAACTGTTTCTTTTGATATCAGAAAAGGAGTATTGAAAAAGATAATGTAAAATATGAAATACAATGTGGAGTTACTGCTATATTATTTGTGAAAAAGGAAAACATTGGATATTTTTGTCACGATTGTGTGCTCTTGATGATTCCATTGACTCATATGTTTTTTTCTTCTTGAAGATACTGAATTGTTGTGGGTGACTTGGATTCCATAAGTTGAGTCGTAGTGCTCAAATAAATTGAGAGCACTTTTGGTAACAATGATGCAGGACATGAGTAACTGCTGGTTTTACCACTCAAGTTTCACCTGATGATCTGGCTTGCACTTTTTCTTCAATTTTTAAACATTGTAATGTGCAAAGAGGTCTGTATATGTGCTCTAGATATTTTTTTCCATTCACAGGGCTTAATTCTTAATTTGGAAACAGCCCATAATGTGAAATTCAGGGACTGTTTGATAGACCAGAGTTGTGCTTGGTTTCTAGTGTTGACTTCGTCAGGGTGTATTTTTCGTGGGAATTGCTACCAGTACTGATTTGGGTCTGAAGGGGATCTCAAAAAGGACTGTAGGTTGTGGTTGGCTTTTAATTTTGTTCAGATTTTCTGTTTGAGATTTGCTCAAGGAACAGGCTGTTGCAGTTGGTGAGGCAGCTGCATGTGCAGAATGCTATGGACAAACAAGATTTGGAAATCTGGGCAAGCAGTAGGAATGCTGGAAGATGCTGTAGGTTTCTTTGAGAAATTAAATCTGCAGGCTTTGAGGGTGGATAGTGGCAATGTGAGGTTTAAAGTTCAGACTTTTGTTATAGGACTGGTTTGTGAATTGTCATGGCTGGTGTACAGAAATCTGTCTCTGCAGTTCTAATAAGAAATCAGGTATTTTACATCAATATTTTGAACTTTCAGGTGCCTGTATGCTAATTTACGTCCTATGTAAGTTTTAAGGCTTAACTGTTTATCTGGAATGTTAGTAATATTAGAAGCTCATTGAAATAGAGAAGTAATGATAAGAGACAATGATATTTTAAAGGAAATTTGTTGACATTGGAAATGGCACTTCTGGATTATGGGAGCTGCCTAAAGAGCAGGTTAGGGACTGGTCAGGGCCATCAAAGTGCAGCTCGGCCATCTTTGTTGCTGTCTGTTTTCAAACGACTTGCTGATGGATGTTTGAGGTGCCCATGTTCAGTTTTGCTGGTTGCTCTGCTGTCTGATCAGGTGTTATCTGAAAGCCTACTGCAGTTTGTTCCTTTGTTGATGTTTGCCACTTTGGGATATGTTTGGTAAATCTGAGTTTTCTTGCCCTCCCTGATCTGTGCTTCTGCTTCTGGGCTTCTGGTGTCCCCTCACAGTGCTGTCTGGCAATCCTTGTCATGCAATGCTGCCTGCTGTTCCTGAGACAGTAAATCAGGAAGCTGGGATAACAGTGGCTGTGAAAATTGGGCATTATGAGGTCTTAAGAAAGACCAAAAAATTCATGACTCCACTTATATTTACCAGAAAGCTATGAGAAAATAATTGTTCCCCATTTGTGCATATTTCTGGAGCTTACTCTTTCTCCTCTTCCTTTAAATTCCCAAATGATGATAAATTGCTGTCTCAAATCCTTCTCTCAGAAACTCCATGTAGTATTGAACAGATACTTTTTTCATGGGGAAGAGAGTAGATGGAGAGAAAAAGGGCAGAGTGTGAACTCTAATCCTGGGTGCTCAGATGAGTAGCTGGCCACCAGTACTTGTCTGTAGGATGTCGTACTGTCCTTCAACACCACTACAGCAATTTCATCATCTATAACCAGTTAGGCAATAGCCAGAAATGCCAAGAGCTCCTGAGTCACTTGAGTGCAGTGCTGCCTTGAGCTGAAATTGCAGTTGGTTGTTGTCTCTTGTTAGGTTGTAAATTCCCTGCAGCAACAGACACAGGCGACATCTCCTCCTGTCCCGGAACCTCACACGCTCACTGCTGTGGCTCAGGCAGACCCCCTGGTGAGGAGACAGCGAGTACAGGACCTCATGGCACAGATGCAGGGTCCCTACAACTTCATGCAGGTATTTCTGTACTCTATAAACATTCGTGTGTTTAACCCACAGCAGTGTGGATTTGATTTTTATGATTTTTGATTTTTTTTTTTTCTCCCCAGGACTCGATGCTGGAATTTGAGAACCAAACACTTGATCCTGCCATTGTATCTGCACAGCCCATGAACCCAGCACAGAGTTTGGACATGCCCCAAATGGTTTGCCCTCCAGGTTTGTAATGGTAAATCCTAAACAGAAATAATGGGGAAGTCCTCTCTTAGAAATGCTTCAGTTACTGCTGCATAATAAAAAGGTCACCACAAGTAATAGTACAATCCTGTTACAGTGTGTTTTCTCAGAAATGTGATTGTACTGTTTTTAGACTTCCAATTTTCAGTTGCTTATAGATTTTGCTTGGAAATATGGAACATCCAAAGCTTCTTTGATTTTGCTTTGAATTATTTTGGACAAGTAGAAAAAATGTTCTTTGCATGGAAACAGGAGTTGGTAATTTGAGTATAGCTTTGTCATGTTTAAGGCTTCATCATCTTCATGGTGATCAGTTTTCATACAAGTGCTCAGAGAAGATAATAATGCTGTTCTTTGAAAGGCTTGATTTTACTATGTAATAAATGAAATTATTTTCCTGCAGTTCATGCTGAGTCAAGACTTGCCCAGCCTACCCAAGTTCCTGTGCAACCAGAAGCTACACAGGTAAAATGTTTACTAAATTCTGGTTTGGATTTGAGTTTGATATTAGACCTGATAGGAGTTATAAAAGGATTGATTTCCTAACTACATGAGAAACTCTAAGAAAAAGCTGAAGTTCCAATTTTGGGAAATTGGTGATCTCCATTGTGGCTTACAAGCATTACTAGTTCCTAGTTTCATTCTCTGCAGACATTGCAAATTTCCTGTAATGGGAAGCAGGTAGTTTAGTTTGTTACTTATTTGCAACAGAAATGCCAAAACCACTTGGTTACAGGGCAGCCTGTGTCTATTCAAGTGAGTGTCAGGGCACAAGTAGATTTCATGCATTAGCTATACACAGTTTGTGTTCTGTTTCATTATTCCCAGTTGCTTGCTTGGGTTGGAATTTTATCCTGGAGCTGTAGAGCAGTCAGCGTGAGTTGAATGCTGTTTCCAGTTGAGCTTTAAGTAGGATCTCCTGAACTTGCTTCTGCACTGCATAAATGAAGTAGTCACTTTCTTGTTAAGATGTTTCAGTTGTCTGGTGATTAAAGGAGTTCCTAATTTTGTATTAAGCATGTGTGGCATCTCTGAGGGCTCTGCTGGTCTCAGTAATGGGTCTGATCCCTGTAGGTATTTGGAAACAAAAAAATAAAATCTAGGTGGATGATGGATCTCACAGTACAGGCAGTATAAATTGCTTCCTTTGGCTTGTCCAGATTAGGTCTGCAAGGTTAAAGTCACTCATTTATATAGAAACAGGAGTGAGGGAATTATTTCTTGAGTTTCCTCTATATGTACCTCCTGAAGTGCTGGTGCTCTCCATAGTTTTGTTGTCTTGTAGGAGTAGACTAATATTTTTGGGCAGAGGATTTTCTCTGCACTAAGTTTTAATTTTACTGTTAGGGGATGTCTGACCCAATCCAATGGATTTTTTTTCTTATTTCCTTTACCTCAACCACTGCTGCCAGTGATTCTCTGAAGGATCTTGCAAGCAGTAGCTAAACTTAGTCTTGGCTTTGGAACATTCCAGTATGATGTGAACACTCCCATCAGTTATTATCCATTGCCTCTTAAACTGCCCAGTACAGCCTTTAATGCAAGGTGCTCTGCTTTGCTGGCTGGACTTTTCCCTGGGCTCTCTGTGTGGGAGCAGAGCTTGTAAAATGTAAAATTCAGGCCATTGGAAGCCAGCCCTTGTCCACTTGTGTTTGAGCTTGGAGCTGTGTCATATTAGAATATTGGTGGTTAAAAAGTAATTATTTGTACTGGTTTGAAGATCTGCTGGCTCACAGACTCCAGAGTTCTCTGATACTTTTTACAAAACTGTGTGAGCATCAGCTGACTTTTGGGGGCTTTGGGGTTTATTTTGTCAGGTTCCTTTGGTTTCTTCTACAAGTGAGGGATATACAGCTTCCCAACCCATGTATCAGCCTTCTCACACAGCAGAGCAACGGCCACAGAAAGAATCAATTGACCAGATTCAGGCAAGTCAGGTTTCACAGGGGTGGGAAGAACTCTGATTGCAGGTGGCATCAAATGTTAGTCTATGTTTCTTATGTTATTTTTAGTTGATAGGGGTGCTTCAGTTCCGTTTAATTTCAAAATTCTGAGCCTTTCTGTGACCAGTAAGTCCTCCACATCAAGACTTTTCTTTTGGAAGCTTGTTTGTTTAGCTGGATGCAGCATGCCAACATCAGCATGGGAGCATCAGTGTTGTTGGCTTAGGAAATGGGATTTATGTTTTCACAGCAGTTAGCCAGGAAACTTCTTCATTTCCCCCCTCTTTTTCTGGTTGTGTTTCAAGCTAATGAGGGAGAAGATGGTCAGGTTTTTCCTCTCATTAAGCTGTTGTGAATGAGGCTGTTGAGCTGAAGTAGAAAACAGTCATTAGTAGAGGTTAAGCTGAGGCATTGCCACTCTTTTTAAGCAGAGTTTTTGAAGTTAGATATTTGGTACCTCAGGAGTTGCTAAAGTGTTGTTTGTTTTAATTATTAGGCTTCCATGTCCCTGAATGCAGACCAGACCCCATCCTCATCATCACTTCCCACTGCATCCCAGCCACAGGTGTTCCAGGCTGGGTCCAGCAAGCCTTTGCATAGCAGCGGAATCAACGTCAATGCAGCTCCATTCCAGTCCATGCAAACAGTGAGTAGGAAATCAATGCTGCATCCCTTTGGTTGGGTACTCATTGCTTGTGGTGGAATCACTCATGTACCTACATAGAATAGTCTTTACTTATTCACATTGCTAAGATTTTGGTGATTCTTTACAGAGCTGTAAAACTGAATTTCTACTCTTTCAGGTATTCAACATGAATGCACCTGTTCCTCCTGTGAATGAGCCAGAAACCCTTAAGCAGCAAAACCAGTACCAGGCCAGTTACAACCAGAGTTTCTCCAATCAACCTCACCAAGTAGAACAATCAGATCTCCAGCAAGAACAACTCCAGACAGGTAAATTCTTGTGGCCTTGGTAGAGCAGTCTGTGGAGTCCTAGATGATGGAGCAAAGCATGTCACAGGTTCCCTTGCAAATCTTTCCCCTGAGCAATACCAGTTTTTGTTACTGTCTCTGGGTTTGAATATCCAGCAGGGAGTGAAATTTAATATATCTGTCTCCAACTGTTAAGCCACTTGGCTGAGGTTTATATGGGTTTTAAAAAAATGTGATTATTCTGAAGATGCAAGCACTAGAGTGAAGTACTGGCTCTGCTGATGTTAAGGTTGCTTTAAAAAAAAGACAGTGCAGTTTCAGGTGGCATTCTGTAATGAAAACTGTAAATCAGAAATGAGAGCAAATATGGATTGCTTCTCACAGTTGATGTAAGGTCACAAAGGCCTGGAATCTTGAAATCTGAAATCGGTGAGATATGGTTTGAATTCAGAAGGCAAAATGCTTTCCAGGTTAGCAGCTTGAAAAAATAAGTCTTATGTCCAGAGCAGTTTTTCTCTGAGCATTGCCTTCACTTTCCACTGAAGTGCTAACAAATACTGGATGGGGAATAAGGAGAAAGAGCCTCATCCTTTTCCTCTGTAACAGAATGTTTGGTTTAAGGAGAGACATGTGGGAACATACAGAAATCCAGCCTTTTATACTTCTTTTTTCCCCTGATTCCCTTGCAGTGGTTGGTACCTACCACGGTTCCCCGGACCAGAGTCACCAAGTGGCAGGAAACCACCAGCAGGCTCCCCAGCAGAGCACTGGGTTCCCCAGGAACAGCCAGCCTTACTACAACAGCCGAGGGGTGTCCCGGGGGGGATCCCGCGGGGCCCGGGGCCTCATGAACGGTTACAGGGGCCCAGCAAACGGATTCAGAGGTGAGCAGCGCTCAAAACACTCCCTGACCTCTGCTTGCACCTGGGGGAACGCCAGCTCAGGACAGAACTGTTACACTGACCTAATGTTGGGAGACTGGGGTGGTATCCCTGGGAGACAGTGAAACAGGTAGTAAAAATCTTACTGGTTGTAGATAAACAAATTTTAGGTGTGTGTTTGGATCTCTGCTAGAATACAATAATTAAGCATCTACTGCAAGTATAAACAAATGCAGAAATACCCACCCATCAAGCAAGGAATTTGGATGCCAGTTGATATTTCAAAAATGCTTTTTGTTTCCACAGTGTATTTTATAGTTCTGTGTTTTATCAGAATGAGAATAGGCTAGCTTATGTAGAAGAACACAAGAGTCCAAAAGTCACTAGGCCAAGGGAATTAACAGGAGTGGAAGAATGATACTGTAGTTCTGGATAGATAAGAAAATGTTCACGATTCCTGGACCTTAGAGGTGTGGCTGTCAGTGTTACAAAGAAGTTTATGTTAGAGTAGGACAGAGATTTCCTTGTCAGGTGTTCCAGGACTGCTTATGGACACAGGTATTCCATGTTCACTTCCCTTCCTGTGGCTGGGGAGTAAAGAAGAAACCTGTGTAATGAAAACACAGCTGATGGGAGTGTGAATGCAGTAATCACAGCTGGGACATTTAGATCCTACCTAGGATCAAGTTCAGCTCTGGACTGAATGTTCTGTAAATCAAACCTTGGGTTACTCTGAGAAATGTGCTGAACACTGCCTCCTCCCAGTCCGTACCAGGGGTTCATTCTCATTTCCTGTAATATATTAGCCCTGATGTTGGAGGTATTTGCTTGACTTGAGGTAAACAGCCCTAAAGGGATGGGATTTTAAGGTTTAGGTAAAATGCTGGTACTGCTTTTCTTCCTGTAGTAGCAGAAGGTCAAGTATTAAGTGCAATTTTGCTTTCCAAGTGAAAGACTTGTGCCCTGTTCCTTAGGGGGATACGATGGCTACCGTCCTTCCTTTTCCAACACTCCAAACAGTGGCTACACACAGCCCCAGTTCAATGCTCCTCGGGATTACTCAAACTACCAGAGGGTAAGCTACCAGTGGGGAGGGAAATACCTGTCAAAAGCACTCAGAGCTGTTAGGGACAACTTCCTCTGGGACCTTCTTATTGCTCGGGAAGACAAACTGCCTCTGTGTAGTTTGGAAAAGTCGAACCCTAAATGTATCTATTTATATTTCTTAGTTACATTGAGCAACACATCCTGTAACTGGAGAGAGCATTTGTCACTGCACATTTTATTACTGCTGCTAGGCACTAGTGGAAGTAAGAATTTATTTTTTGAAGTTTATTTTAAACTAATAAAGTGTTGCATGTTGAAGTTACAGGTCTTTTGTCAGTGCATATTGTTCTAAAAGGTCCTTACTCTGCTGGCAATTAATAGCAGAATGCCCAGGTTTTATGTTGTAACTTTTTTAATTTCTTGGCTTCAGGATGGCTATCAACAAAATTTCAAACGTGGATCTGGACAAAGTGGACCTCGGGGAGCTCCTAGAGGTAATTTCCTGAGTAGCAAATACTTGAACTGGGTTGAGTGAAAGTTTCTGAGCCAATTTTGAAAGTTCTGCACTTTAAAAGCAACCTCACTCCTTACTCAGCAGCTCACCATTGAGAATAAGCTGACTTTCCTCTGACCTCGTAGGTGATCTTGCTGACTTGAATTACTGGGATCCTGTGGACTGGTGGTAGAAGTTTAGTTGACCGTAAAATGAGGAATTCTTGGAAAAGAAGTTTAAACAGCAATTGCTGTTGACATTAGAACTACTTAACTGTCTTTTATTAATAAAAGCCTTAGGAAACTAGCCCAACAGACATAATAAGGCTGTTGTTAAGCTTCTAAATTCTATTTTCATCACTATTTTCTCAGGTCTTTTTTTTGAGTTTATTTTTGGTGATGAATCTATCTCAAGACATTGCTACGAGTGCCGTGGCAGTGAGGACAGTTTGAGCCTGTACCCTGCATCTGTAAAACCCCACGTGGTAGTTCAGTTTGGAAGGGTTGTTGGAGTTCAGTTTCAGTTGGAGAAAGCCCTGAGGTGTTGAGCTGAGGCCTCTGGAATTCAGTGCAACATTGGGCTGTGGCGAAGCCAAGAGTGTGTTGTAGGAAGCACAACAAAGTCTGACTGAGTTCAGACCAGAAGATTTAGGACTATTTTTAAACTAACCAAATTTCCTGCAGAATTCAACCCCCTTTTTGTGTTTCCTAGGTCGTGGAGGGCCCCCCAGACCAAACAGAGGGATGCCTCAGATGAACGCTCAGCAAGTGAATTAAACACGTTCACAGGATTCCGTTCAACGCCAAAAACACGCTGGCCAGTGTACAATACATGTTACCAGAAGAGTTATTATCTATTTGTTCTCCCTTACAGGAAGTTTGTTGTAAAGGGACTATTTTCATTACCCATAATGACAGGACTACAGTTGCCAGCTTTATATTCCCTGGATATTGAAAGGAACGAAACAACGTTTACTCTGCATGTTCTGTCCTAAGCATCATCTTGAGCCTTGCACATGAGATTCAGATTCCTCACCCTTGCTAAGAATAAAGCAAAAAACGGCAATTTTCAGGGTGATCCAATCTCCATGGTTAACTGAAGTGGCAGGAAAAAGCAAAGACTCACTTCTGACATTTAAAAGTGATTTAACAAAATTCAGATAAAATCTGCAAATCCATAAAGATTTACTGTGATGGCAATTGACAAAACTTAAATGTTCCCATGAAAGGATGATGGAAAAGGTGAAGTGTGGCTTGGTAGAACAACTGCATTTCAGCCTTTTCTTATTAAATCGAAGCACTGAACAGTTCAAGATGTGTAGTGATGCATTTGCCCTAAATAGACAGGTGGGCTTAGAGGCAGTTTGTGACAAAGAAGAGACACCCTTAGCTGCAGCACTCCTCGTCACCCGGGCCCTGATTCCTGTGGCTAAGGATTTAAGAGCGCTTGCATAACTGCTAATGTAACTGTGTAATTATTTTTTTTTTAGGAGACAAGGTGAAAAACAAAAAAAAAAGCTTTGATTTGGCACTTGGACAAAATTTTGCAACAAATCCTGAGCTATAATCTGGATGGCCACTGTATATTTGATGTGAAGTATTTAGATATCTCTTTGAAACACTTTTAAGTTTCTTTGATAGCAATGACTTTTGTAAGGATTGGTATTCTCTATCATTCCTTATGACTTGCACATTGTCTGTCACTAATACTTGACCTTGCTGTATTATCACCTAAATAACTGATACCGGTACTGATGGAAATCCCTAATGGATAATCATAACACTTTTGGTCACATGTCCTTTTGTCTTTCCTGCAGCCTTGAAGGTTTTAAGAAATCTCAAATGCCCGCTGCTGCTGCCCTTCCAATTGCTATCTTTTGAAAAGCACCAGTCTGTGTTTGAGTTGATTTCCCCTTTTCAGGGAAATGACAGCCAGCAGTTACAATTCTAATGGTATAAGCAAGATAAATAAAACATGTTTATAAAAATTGCATCCTGGAACACTGGTTTTCAACGGCTGAAACAGATGTGATGGGGTGACATTTCATAAGGTTCTTTTTTTCGTTCTCTGTTTTTTTCCCAATAGTCTCTTTTTCCTGACTAGATGTAAACCCTCCTCGTTTTTTTTCTGGTTTTATTCTACTAGCTGTGACTTCTGGGAAACTTTTCTTTTTGATGGACTTTTCCTTTTTTTTTTTTTCATCAAGGCAGCGATGTATAAAAGAAATGGCATAAGCCTAGGAGCTGGAAAATACCAAGTCTTATTCAAGTTTTACTGCATCCTTGTGGTATAATCTTTGGAAAAATCACTTGTGCCTGCCTTTTGCGCACATGCACTCTCTCTGCAGTGGGGAGAATATTTTGATAGCTGCCTCCATAGAGGTGTTGGTAGTTCTGTTGCATTCTATAGCACGTGCAAGAAGAAAAGTGCTATATTCTATGTTAAGTATTGCTCATCAAATAATTCCTACCTGTGGAAAGATGAAATTAAGGAACAGCTGTGTGGTGTTTAACTGTTCTGTACGAAACTGAAGGTTGTTTTCACTCAGAGGGTCATTTCTACTTTGTATCACAACTGAACTTTCAGAACTTGCAGTCAGATACTTTTGACTTCTTGTGAAACAGTCTGGAACTCCATACCAATAGGTGGGATATCACTTTTCCATGTCCTGTGTGAAGAGCACAAATGAAAAACGTTTTCACTGCGGGAAGTGATAAGCTTGTGAAGACCATATTCCACACCAGGCATCCTGAAACGGGGCTGATGTCTGGAAGCAGCAGTTTGAGTCAAGGCCTAGAACATTCCTAAACTGCAGTCCGGTGAGAAGTTGCTGTTCTGTGTCTTTTTTAGGAAGCTATTACTGAGATAATAGTCCCAACTGTTTTTTAACTGGAAAAAAAAATAAAAAGACAAACCTTTTAATGTTGAACTGATGTAGGAAAACAGTGAATTCTTTTAATTATGTTACTTTTCTTCATCAGCTTTTAAAATGGTTGGTAGAACACAAGCTGCTCAGCTTTTCCACTGCACACCAAATGCTCCTTAAGGAACTAATTGTAGTTTGTCAGTAAATGTGCACCATACTCATTTCGAGATCTCTGAACAGATCAAAACATTCCACTTTGAGTTTGGGGGGTTGGTTTGGAGTTTTTTTCCAACTTGAATTTACTAATAAAACACTGGGCCTCTTCACTGAGAGACAAGTTTGTAAACCTTCACCTGTGTGACAATGGCCTTTAGAGCAGCTGCCCTGCTGATTCCTGATGGAGGGAGAGGTGGAACAAGTCCCTGAGGTGTGAGCTGGGACTGTGCACAGACCCCTTTGATCTCCTTCCGTGGTGTAATGAAGTGTCCTGAGACATCAGCCTGGAGTCACCGTGTAGCACAGCCCAAGACTATTAGCAGAAGTTGATGTTGAAGCCAAGCTGGGGCAGTTTGGGGCTGGCTCTGGTGCTGAGCCCCTTCTGGCTGTAGGGATGAGCTGTTCATTCCATGGGCAGCTGGAGTCTGATCCTGTGGCTGGAAGAAGAGCGTGGGGCGGGGCTGTGTCTCAGCCTGTTCAAAACCAAACTTCTGCCTTCAGCCTCTTGTTCCTTTTGGCTGTAATTCAAGAGTTCCTGAACAAGTAATTTATAAATTCCTCAAGTATTTCAGATGTTGGTACATATTGTTACTGTGTCTGGGGAAACTGCTTCCTTGACGTCCTCCTACTTGAAAACTTACCCAGAAATCATGAGCTGTTGTATTATACCTGAGACCAGCCTGCTCCTGGATTTTACTCCTATGTTTTTGCTGTGTACAGGCTGTTTTCTAACAACAGTTCACCAGTGCAGCTTAGGGATTTTGCTGTGGAGAGGGTTCTGAACTTCACTTAACCACTGTTTTCTTCCCCAGACCCTGTATTTTGTATACAGCAATCTGATTCATCAGGCAGAGCAAGGATTGTCGGCTTCTTGTTACTTAACCAGGCAATGTATCCTGCTGGGACTTAACTCTCAGAGAACCTCATGTCCTTAAAAATGTGTCTTCTCAAAATGTTCTGCTAACCTTAAGTTTTTAGGAAGATTGGTTGTGTTACAGGTCTTTGGAGAAAGCATCAAGCTTCCCTCTTTCTCCCAAATGGCATTTGAGTAGAGAGAAGTTACTGAAGAGGCTGTAACTGCAGATAAATACTGCAAAGATGATACATGATACTGAAAAAGTTGTAAAATTCATATGATTAAGAACAAATAAGGCAAAATCTTTGTGGACCAGCAGAGCAAGATACAGAACCAGTTGGTTGGAGGAATCTTGATGTTCCCTCTGCCCTATTCATGAGGCTGCAGTCACATCCTGGGACATCCAGACCATCCCTCTTGCTGATGTGAAACTGTTCTTGGTTAAAGTATTGTCAAGGTACAAGCTGGATCTGAGGTTTGTCACTGTGTGAAGGAGACTGGTTTAGTTTCTAAAATCTGGGCACCTGTTCCTCCAATTTTCCATCTGCACTGGATGGGACTAAAAAGTTTCCCATCACTTGAACTGGAACCACTGAACTTGCATGGAAGTGCTGGCAAGGTGCAGGTGTCCCTCACTGATGGACCAGAACATCTGAAGAGCAAGCAGGAAATGAACCCAAACAACAAAATTCCTCTTGAACTTAGAGGACAATTTCCCTATTTAAATCTGGCTTTACATATATTTATGATTATTGTCTGGAACTTTGCTGGAAGCTCCCACATTGCAACACTGTGCAGCTCCCTTCTCATGGTGTTTTTCCTGAAATGGCAGGATTTGTTAAAATGCATCTGAGCACTCCATTGGTCTGGGACTGATCTTGGCTGTCGTGGAGTCAGTGGCACAACTTCAGGGAAGGAGCTTGTGACTGACAAAAATAAGGGAACTTTGGGAACATTCTCTTATTTTTGTCAGCACAGCTCACAGTCGTGGAGAGGGCTAATTGCTTAAACTGTAACATTTTTCTGTTGGCCAATTCGTTTTTGCAGAGGGAAGGAGGTAGGAAGGTCCCTCAAACATTTATTTTTGATGTGATGTGGCAGAGTGTGATGAGAAACTTCCTTTTGTAGACTGTTCATCTAAGGGAAGAGGTGCTATTCTATTAACCACTTTTAGAGGCTTTTTGAATATAATGGTATTAAAATTCGTGGCTCTCTGAATCCAGCCTTAAGGGAGGGAAGGAAATCTGTTTTCCAAAATCCGCTTCCTAAAAGCCACTTGGAGCAGCACGTAGGAGAACTGCACTAGGAAAACTAGAACCTAACTTGGCATTTGGTTATGAATTGATATTTTTTTTTGCTCTTGCTGCAGTTATATTAAAAAACAGATTCTTTTCCCCTCTTTAATCCTCATAAAAGAGTCAGAAGGGTGTAACTAGCTCGGTTCCAACTCTGCTGGCCCATTTGTACCCAACAGCGGATCAAGAAGACACCTGGAATTTTGGTCTCAAGCTAAATTTTAGGAAAAATCCATTAGACTTTTATTAAATGAAAATGTATTTCCTCTTTTGAAGCTCTTGGATTTTAGAATGAATTTTAGTAATGCTTCTAGCACATAAAATAAGTGTTGAGAATTTTTAGTTTGTTGTCAGGTTTAAATTTTCTGATGGCCTTAAACATACCTGTATATATGTCTGCAGTTCTTTAACTCAACATTGGAAACAAATTGGTCCATGGCTTATGTAAACACTTGAAAAATAAATCTATTTAAATGTTTTATGTCCTTCCCTTTTAAGCAAGTATTTCTTACCTAAAGGGATTGTCTTGCTACACTTCTGTTGCATTGGTGGTTTTGTCTCAGTGACTGGGTTTAACTGGGTTCACCTAAAAAAATTGTTCTACAGCCTTTATGATTATTAATTCAATATTTTTATCATGTTTTTGTTATACTTTAAAGCAACTCCAAATACATCCAGTGGTATTAAACACATTTTTCCTATGCCGTCACCTGGTTTTAAATATTTCATTGTTTGAATGTTCAAGTTTAAAAAAAATTGGCAGTATTAAAAGCTAAGAATAAATATATCTATGCAAATAGCTCGGCTGAACTTTGGTATTGAAAGGTTAGGAATAGCTTTACTGTCAGTTTGAAAATAAAATTCCGTGTTTCTGAAATCTCACTGGAATTTCAGGTCAGGCTGATAAATCATTTACTTGTTACTGCTCCATGGTTGTGCAGCTTTGGATTTTGTATGGAAAACTTTCAGACAGCTCTTGTGGATTTATTAAGAAGCAGAGCTGAAATGTTAAAGCTCCCTATTCCTACTGAGGAGCAGGATTCCTAATATTTCCTGGGGTTTCATTTAGCATCCTGTAATATTGAATCCTAAAGGTTTGTTATTTTCTGGATGCGTTCTCTTTTCTCTGTGTAGTCTTGTTTCCTCGGGAAAACTGGCTCCAAATGCCCTTTTTTGATACATACTTGTTTTTGTCTTGTCTCCCCCCAGGAACAAAGGCCACCCAGACTCAGAGTTTGCTGGTGTGGAACTGGAATTACTTTTATAAAATCAGAGGCCTGCTCTTTGTGCCCATGCACCTGGAGGGCTCGCAGGCAGGATTTTGTTAGAACAAAGCGTTTTTAAAAAAATTAAATCGGTGTTGCCGGAGGGGAGGAAGGAAGGACAGAGAAAGACAAAGAAAGTAAAAGAAACAAAAAGGAAGGAAAGGAAAAGGAGAAAAAAGGAAGGAAAAGAAAAGAGAAAAAGTGAAGCAAGCTGTGGGAAGTAGGGGCTGCTCTGGATCTCGCAGGGATCGTGGGAGCTGGCTGGACACAGAAGTCCTTTCCCATGTGCAAAGCTACTTTCAGTTATTCTGCTTGAAAGCTCGATCTGCAGAGAAATGTGTATTTACACAGAAATATTTAGAACTAGATCTCTGTGTGTTCTGTCGCTCAGGCGGCCGGCGCGGGCAGCCCCGGGGTCCTCCCACGCTGCGCGGCGCCCGCGCCCGGCCCCACGTGGCCCCCACGTGGTGCTGCGGGAGCGGGGCCGCGGGAGAGGCTCCGGGAGCAGCGGGAGAGGCTCCGGGAGCCGCAGCCATGCAGCGCCGCAAGGTGGACAACCGTATCCGCGTCCTCATCGAGAATGGCGTGGCGGAGCGGCAGCGCAGCCTGTTCGTGGTGGTGGGCGACCGCGGCAAGGACCAGGTAACGCCGTCCCGGAGGGTGCGGGGCTGACCCACCCGGGCCTGCCGCAGTCCTTCAGTCCCTGCTCCTCTCTGCCTCCAGCAGGAATTAAACCCTCACAGCCCCAGGCAGAGCAATGGGTCCTGAGGGGAAGTCAGGCCCCCTCAGTTGAAAACGGTGTGTGAGATCTCCCTTAGACTGCTCCTGTCTGGGAAGCTCGTGAACATCAAATCAATCTCAGGACAGCCTGGAGTTCGTGTGCTTTGTTTGGGTTTTTTTAAACTGGGGCAAAGGATATTGCATTTTCTGGCCAGCTGGAGGTTTTTCCTCTCAGTGCCCTGAGCTGTGATGGTTTCTGTCTCGGAGTGGGCTTTGAGTCGTCTCGCAGATGAACCTACTCGGTGAAGCTGTGTGCAGGAAATTAACTGCTAAACTCGTTTTCCTTCAGAGACTCTTGCCTTGTGTTTTTCGAGTGAGGAGGGGAAGAGCAGCACGGCAAACCCGTGATGTTTTAGGATAAGTCAATTCACAGAATCACAGAACTGTTCCGGGTGGAACAGCCGTCCCAGATCACTGAGTCCAGCAAGGCCAAACCGGCCACTCATCCGCATCCCCAAGTGCCACATCTACGTGGCTTTTAAATTCCTACAGGGATGAGGACTTGATAGCCCCCTCAGGGAAGAAATTTTGCCTTATATGCAACCTAAACCTCCCCTGGCACGGCTTGAGGCCATTTCTTCTCCTCTTGTTCCTGGGAGCAGAGCCTGACCTGACTGCCCTTTCCTGTCAGGGATTTGTGGAGAGCAGTAAGGTCTCCCCTGAGCCCCCTTTTCTCCAGGCTGAGCCTCCTTCCCAACTCCCTCAGCCACTCCTGGTCCTCCAGACCCTTCCCCAGCTCCACTCCCTTCCCTGGACATGCTCCAGCCCCTCAGTGTCTTTCTTGCAGTGAGGGCCCAAAACTGAGCCCAGGATTTGAGGTGTGGCCTCCCCAATGCTGAACAGAGAAGAACAATCACTGCCCTGGTCCTGCTGCTGTTCTGTTCTAACTGCTGTATAACTGATAATTCATTTACCTCC